AGAGAGAGAGAGAGAGAGAGAGGAGTTATGCCGCAATATGCGGAGCTGGCGGGGGCTAAATTTGCTGCTACGATGGATAGAGGCGCACTGAAGAGTTATTTGGGGATAGGGGGCGATTTATTGGTGTGGGGGTGGCAGAGTCTCTGTTTGACATCTTCCTTTTCCCTCTGCAAAGTGTGTCCTAGCAGCTTTGACAACCTTGTTTGGTGTGGTGGATTCAATCAAATTATTGTCTATCATTATTCTGTGTTTTTTTTTATTTTAACTCGGTGTTACGCATTTCCCTGTTTCTTGGCGCAGCGGTTAAAGTTAGGAAGCAACCGAAGTAGAAACATCCTCTCTCCTTCCCTTCTCCCTCCATTGGGTGAGGATGGCGGGGCTAAAGATCAACCTAGACGATTTGGAGAGTGACAATGATGACTCGGCAAAGATGTCCAACGAGGGACTACGCCTCGGCGAGCTCATCGTTTCCTCCGAGGGTCTCACGACGTCGATGGGGTACAAGTATGGCCTTTCGCCAGAGGATGTGGTGCTGAGCGCAACAGGCTTCTTGGGGCAGGGGAGCAGCGGGTCCGTGCGCCGAGCGACGCACCTCAAGACCGATAGGGACATCGCTTTGAAGGAGATCAAGCTCACGGGGCAGACACACCTACAGGAGATAAGGCGCGAATTGGAAACGCTCCATAGGGACGGCAGCACATCACCATACTTGGTTGACTTTTATGGTGCCTTCTGCCATGAAGGCTCGGTTTTCATTGCCATGGAATGCATGGATGGCAGTCTAGATGGCGTGCCGAAACCGGTTCCAACAGCTGTCCTGGCAAGCATCACACGCAGCATTATCCGTGGTCTCTACTACCTACACAAGGTTAGGCATCTCATGCACCGCGACCTTAAGCCTAGCAACCTTCTCTACAGTCAGGACGGACGCATCAAAATATCAGATTTTGGCGTGAGCTCCTTTCTGGAATGCACCCGTGGTGATGCACACAGCTTTGTTGGGACGCTGACGTACATGAGCCCTGAGCGGTTAAAAGGGGAGTCCTATTCGTTCTCGGCAGATATATGGTCGCTGGGCCTCGTTGTTGCTGAGCTCGCATTGGGTGCATGTCCTTTCACGGAAAGATTTTTGCGCAACAATTCCTCGACGGAAGCAAGTTTCTGGATACTGCTGCAGCACCTGAACGGTGATGGTCCTGTGATTGCCCTCCCACCTTCGATGGATCCTGCGCTGGCGTCATTCATTTCAGGATGCATTCAAAAAGATCCACAGAGACGTCCTACATGTGATGAATTACTGCATCACTCATTCATTGCAGAAGGGGATGAGAATGACGACCGGTTTGTGATCAGGGAGTGGCTCTCCACCGTGCAGGCTCCAACGGAGGTTGACACCTCTGTTGAGGAGTCTGGTGCTCCTTTGGTGCGTCCGCCATCGGGACTGGAAGTCGTCTTGAATCTCGATGACGAGCTTAACAAACTGCTTCGGTGAGTGGTAAGGGAGCACACGTATGAAGTCAAGGAGGTTGCGAAGAGGGAGAAAGAAGAATATGACAACTAGCAGCGCCGCAGTGGTAGTGGGTGGTGGTTGTTGTACTGAGGGGGGGAGGTGACAGTTGTGACACTGAGTCTCGGATGGTTGGTTAACCCTTATGAACGCAAGCAAAAGCGAATGAACTGCCTTTTCCTCATGAATGCTAGTTAAAATTTGCGTTCTTGCTTTGAACGTTCGTTGTGCCGTTACTCTCGCTCGGTTTTCCACGTTCGCGGTTGCCTACTTTTTTTCATCCCTCCTTCTTTCTTTCACACAGCTCGCATTGCGCATTGGTGAGAGTGCGCTGCTTCCCACTTGAAGTTCGACTCTCGCCACACCCACTAGGTTGGGAAGGCGGTGGGGCGTGAACAGGTACACAATAGAGAGCGTACAGCACTGTCGTTGCTCTGCCCTTCTTTCTTTGACACCCATGATTGTGTAATAATCGTGATGGTGATGTTGGTGGTGGTGGTGTGTGAGAGTGTATTTGTGGATATGTCGGTGGTGTTGGGGTGTGGCTGCTGCGGTGCTTCAGCTTCCCCAAGAAAAGTTGCAGTGGAATGATGCTGTTTTTTTTTAGGTTTGTTTTGTCCNAAAAAAAAAAAAAGGACAAGAACACGAATTGCGTGCCAGCGTGTGCGTGTGTGGTCGGGTGCAGCCCTCTTTTTATTTTTATTTTACAGAGAGGGTGGAAGGGTTGGGAAGGCGTATGGATGAGGAGCGCTTGCGCAAGGCGCAGCAGGCGTCACGGGATGCCTTCCTCCGCAAACAGGCACTTAAGCGCGAAAAGGCCGCATCGGCCGTTTTACAGGAGAAAATTGCCGAGATTGAGGCGGGAGTTCTGCCGCACTCGCTCACCGAGGTTGAGCTACTGAGTAGGCGCGCGCAGGAGGTGCAGGCGGCTGCACAGCTGCAGCGGACGGCAGAACTTCGGCAGGGGCTGCTTGACCAAGATGGCTCTTTGATCACACAACAGGGAGAATGCCAGCGTGATGCATCATTGTTAAAGCTTGATCAAGTGGGATTGGATTTGCAAGATCGTGCGCCCATTCAGCAAGAAGAGAAGCAGTCGCAGCAGAACTACGTTGCGATGGATCGTTCTGTCATTGATGAGCGCATTGAGAAAAATGAATTTGTGGTTGACAAGACGGAGGATCAGATTAAGACGGAGCGCGCGGAGGCATTGCAGGATCAGCACCGCCGTTTGAAAGAGCAGCGACGTTCACTTCCTATCTTTAAAAACCGCGAGACACTACTGGAGCTCATCCGAAAAAATCCGGTGGTGATTATTGTGGGCGAGACTGGATCTGGAAAAACCACACAGCTGTTGCAATACTTGTACGAAGAGAAATTCCATGAAATCTCTCCGCCATTACATGAAGACAGAAACGACCAAGATAACAACATGGGCGGAGAAGCGGCGGCTCCTGAAGAAGGGGAGGAGAAGGCAGCCGAGAAGCGACTCATCTGTACACAACCTAGACGCATTGCGGCGATCAGCGTAGCGGAGCGTGTGGCACAGGAGATGGGAAGTCGCTGCGGCAGTATTGTTGGGTATAAGGTGCGGTTTGATGATCGATCAGGACCATTGACGCGGGTTATGTTTGTGACAGATGGTATGATGCTAAAGGAGCTTGTCAATGACCCGAACCTTCATACTGTCGCTGCCATCATGATCGATGAAGCCCACGAGCGTTCCCTCAACACAGACATTCTCCTAGGCTTGCTGAAGGATATTACCCGACGCAACAAGCATATCAAGGTGATTGTGGCCAGTGCAACTATTAATGCCGAGAAGTTTAGCAACTTTTTCGATGGTGCGCCCATCTTCACGGTGAAGGGGCGTACGTTTCCTGTTGAGGTGTCGTACCTCACTGAGCCAGTGGCGGACTATGTGAAGGCGTGCGCTGAGTCGGTGCTCTTGCTACACGCTACGAAGCCTCTGCCCGGGGACATACTTGTTTTTCTCCCCGGACAAGAGGAAATCGAGAACTGCGCCGCTGCTATTCGCGAAGGCATCGCCAACGCCGGCGGACAGCTGCGACCACTTCTGGTGTTGCCGATTTACTCATCTCTACCTCCTCGGGATCAGAAGCGTATCTATGAAACACCGCCGCCGCACACAAGAAAGGTTGTAATTGCAACAAACATTGCCGAAACATCCATCACGATTGATGGTATTGTCTATGTTGTGGACTCGGGTCTCTGCAAACAGAATTACTACAATCATCGCGCCATGGTGGAGGAGCTGCGTGTGCTGCCGACATCGCAGGCCAGCGCCATGCAAAGGGCAGGACGTGCGGGACGAACCCAAGAGGGTGACTGCTATCGTCTGTATACCACCTATACTTTCCGCAACGAACTACCGCAAGAAACTGTGCCAGAAATTATGCGGTGCTCGATGAGCTCCGTTGTCCTGCAGCTCAAAGCCCTTGGCATTAACAACCTACTGCAGTTCGAGTTCATTGATGCACCGTCAACAGCTTCGCTAGAACGAGCCCTGGACCATTTGTATCTCCTAGGTGCTATGAAACAGGACGGACAGTTGACTTTGACAGGGCGACGTATGGCTGAATTTCCAATGGAACCGTCACTAAGCAAGTGCATCATACGTGCAAACGCCCTAAAGTGCCTGCGTCACATGTCGATTGCCGTGGCAATGCTCACGCTGGACTCCATATTTGTTGCAACTCGTGACCCCAAGGAGCGTGTTGCCATTGCAAGTGCCAGGGACAAGTTGTTTTCTGCGGGAAATGGTGATGTTGCAGGTTATGTGCGACTGATGGAGGAATGGCTGCGGGCTGGCCCGTTGATGCAGGAATTCTGCCAGTCTCATTACGTGAACGCCAAATCACTTCTCCGAGCTCGTGACGTGTTGGACCAGATATTGCGCACGTGTGAACGGATTGGCTTTGAGTTACCCAGCGGAGAGGAGGAGGCTCCTCTCGCCGTTGAAGTCTTCACAAAGGCACTACTTGCAGGGTTCTTTATGAATGTGTCGAAACTTGGCATCGACCGGCGCACCTATGTGGTTGTGCGCCCAATAGAAGCCACGGTGAACCACGGCGGCATCAATCGCAGCAACAGTGCGCTCGGTGGTGAGGGAGGTTCAACTGCTGAATTGCACCCGTCAAGTTATCTCTTCCGCGCTGGGTTGACCCAGCAGGACGAGAAGACGAAGGAAAACGTACCTGTTTCGTCAGCTCCGATCTTGCGAGAGAGGCCACAGCTTGTCGTCTTCACGCAGCTGCGTTGCACAACGAAGCGCTACATGATGCACGTGACGGCTCTCCCATCCACAGAGTGGGTCCTATCGGCGGCTCCGGTGAATTACTTCACCAAGGAAGAGTTGGAGACGAACCTGCGAAAGCGTGCACATGACTAATTCAAATGTGAAGAGATAGGGAGAGGAGGAAAGGGAGAGGGAAAGTCAGAAAAGAAAGACACAGTCGTGTGTATCTGTTCAGTGAGGTCTCTCTCTCTCTCTCTCGCTCTCGAGTTGCCGCTTCCTTACTACTACTTCTAGAGATGCTGGTTCTCCTCGATTTATGTTATTATCTCGCTTCTCATCCTCTCTTCTTTGTTATCGTTTGTTTGGCTCTCTTGTTCTTCTTTCTTTATTTTTTTTTTTGTTTGTGTGTGGCCATGGCTGGAACCTTATTCGCCATTGTCTCTGAGGGTAGGGAGTCCGGAGGTGCGAGCGGTGGCACTTCTTGCGCAGGTGTGGAGCGCATTCTCTGAATGCTCCGCCGCACCCCTTGGTGGCTCATGATGCAGCTGCACGCGTCGCCGACGCCGAACCCATTGTGCTACACGTTCCGCATCCCATCGGCGACGTATGACAACTTCATCCCTGACGGCCAGACGTGTGAGGTGGCGCACCGGGGGCTGGCCTGGGTGCACCCGCTCAGCAACGGGCTCTTCGAGCAGTACGCGGAGGAGGTTTCAAGCGTCTTCATCGCGCCGCGGCATGTCGCCATCACGGTGTACCAGCACGTGGAGTGGGATACGGTGGAGCACAGCCTCAGCTCGTTCATCGGGCACTATTTGGTGTTTACCAACGCGTGCATCTCCGCAGCGAAGGAGTACGCCCTTCTCGAGGACGACCTCAACATTCGTCCGGAGGACTCGGAGGTGCTGCAGTGCATCAAGGAGCTTCTGCGCGAGCACGTGCGGCCCATGGTGCAGCGCGACGGCGGCGACGTGAAGTTGCTGAATTACAACGAGAAGACAGGTATCGTATCGCTCGCAATGCTTGGCGCCTGCCGTACGTGCCCATCGTCGCAAAACACGCTGAAGGATGGCATTGAGCGTGTGATAAAGCACTTCCTGCCGGAGGTCAATGAGGTGTTGGAGGCGAAGGGGCACGCGTTCTACGAGCGGTATGAGCTCCTCTTTAACTCGGAGACAGCGCTGCGACGCGAGGCGGCACGCGTGGACGCTGTGCGCCGCAGGAACATGACAACGCGACTGACGCCGTCGGTGATGTCGTTTGACGCCCTGCACGAGCCTGACGGCGATGAGTGAGTGGAGGGGTGTGGTGGCGTGCGGCGGGTTATTTATAGCGGGGGAAATAAAACAGTGTTGCTGTTGCTGTAGTTGAAATCAACTGATGCTTGTGGTTGGTGGAGTGCGAAACTGGTGGTGGTAGGTGGGGTGTTAATTCATATAGCCGTGCTTCTACTCCTGCTTTATGGTAATATATATATATATATATATATTTGTCTGCTCTTTTTTTGTTTTCTGCTCCCTGAGGTCTTTCTCGGTTAAACCCCTCTGGGTGCTGTCTAGTTGGTCTTGTCGGCAGCTGCCAAGTGACACGGTGTGAACTCCAAAGTACGATTAAAAAAAAGAAGGAAACAAACAAAAAAGTTTGCACAAATGACGCTGCGTACGCGCTTTGAGAGCTCCGACGACGTCGGCGTCTTCGCCCGCCTGACCAATGCCTACTGCCTCGTGGCTGCTGGCGCCTCGCAGAACTTCTACTCCGTCTTTGAGCAGGAGCTGGCGAACCATGTTCCTGTTGTCTACACCTCCATTGGTGGGTCCCGCGTAGTTGGCCGCCTCACGTGCGGCAACCGTCACGGCCTCGTCGTGCCGTCCATCACCACCGACCAGGAGCTGCAGCACCTGCGCAACTCGCTGCCCGACTCGGTTAAGGTGCAGCGCGTGGAGGAACGCCTCAGTGCGCTCGGAAACTGCGTCGTCTGCAACGACCACGTCGCGCTCATCCACACTGACCTGAGCCGCGAGACGGAGGAGGTGCTGCGGGATACGTTGCAGGTGCAGACGTTCCGCACATCCATCGCGGAGAACGCGCTGGTCGGCAGCTACGCCGTGGTCACCAACAAGGGCTGTATGGTGCACCCCAAGACTCCTGCGCAGGACATGGACGAGATCGCCTCGCTTCTGCAGGTCCCCGTAGTGGCCGGCACGATTAATCGAGGCAACCCCGCTGTTGGCTCCGGTCTAGTAGTGAACGACTGGGCAGCGTTCTGCGGCCTGAACACCACTGCGACGGAGATTACCGTGGTGGAGCGCATCTTCCAGCTGCGCCGCGACCTGGTTGGTGACGAATCCAACATGCTGCAGCAGTTGCGTGACACCTTGGTTGACGAATTGGCGTAGTGGGTAATTGCAGCGCACAACAGCTATGGGAAGCATGGACAGACAATACAGACGACGCTTTAAGAAGAAAACTTTAGTAAGTTGTGGAAGGGAAAAATAATACAGGCTTTTTTTTTTCTGGCCTGTTGTGTGTGTGTGTGTCTGGGATTAAGCGCCGTCAATGCGTGTAATTGAGTGTGACGGTGTGTGTGTGTGTGTGTGTGTGTCTAGGTGCGCAGGCGTCATTAAGACCGCAAATATGATTCCTACACTATGGTGGCATCGCTGCATCTCTCTCCTTTCCCTCTTCCTTTGCCGTTCCTCGCTCTCTTTCTCCCTCTTTCCCTCTCTCGTGTGTGTGTGTGTGTGTCGTTTGCGCGTTGCTTTGACGTGGAGTGCTCTCTTTTGCGGGAGGAAACTCGGGAAGCCCACCCAGCGGAGGGGACCCGCCACCACCACGCTTCACTCTGTCGCAGTGGGGTCACTCTTCGCGTGTTTCACAAATCGCACGAGAACTTCATACGTGCCACACAAAACACACGCCTGCCGACTAGAGGCAACCAAGACAAGGGCGAAACAAGGAATACGAAAACAAAAAAGAAACACAAAAGCAGGTGCGCGAGCGAACGAATATTGGCGGCTTTAGGCTGACCGTAGAGTGTAAAGCTGAAGGAGAAAATAGACGAACATCAAGAAGGACGACGACAAGTAGGAAGGCTGAAGGCCAAGCAACAACAACAAAAATAGCCTCAGCGACACACACGTGATACATTATACCACAAAACAAAACTAAATGAACCAACGGTTTGGTCCCTACCAAGTTGGTGAGACGGTAGGCCGTGGTACATTCGGTAAGGTGAAGTTAGCCGTACATGAGGCCACGCAAACGAAGGTGGCGCTAAAGGTCATCCCGCGCAGACTCATGGAGCAGGATGCGCGTTCAGGCACTAAGATAACTCGGGAAATTAAGATACTCAAGCTGCTTCAGCACCCAAATATAATGCGACTGTACGATGTGGTGCAGACAAAGCACGACATTGTTCTCATTCTTGAGTATGTGTCTGGTGGGGAGTTGTTCGACTACATTTGTCGCAAAGGCCGTCTAGCTGAAGATGTTGCTCGTCATTTATTTCAGCAGATCGTGGCTGGTGTTGCGTACTGCCATAGGTACCGCGTGGCGCACCGTGATCTAAAGCCGGAGAACATCATGATGGAGCATGGATCAACAACCATCAAAATTGGTGACTTTGGTCTTTCATCTGTGAGCCATGATGGGTGCTTCTTTGAGACGAGCTGCGGTACACCCAACTACGCTTCCCCTGAGGTAGTAAGCGGGAAGCTGTACGGTGGCCCTGAGACTGATGTTTGGAGCTGTGGAGTTGTGCTCTACACCATGCTTGCCGGTGCTCTTCCTTTCGATAACAACAACGTTGCCGCGCTCTTCAAGTTGATACAGACAGCGAATTACGTTATGCCGAGCGGCCTCTCAGGGGCGGCGCAGGACTTGATTCGGCGTATGCTGGTGGTGAATCCATTAGAGCGTGCCACTATGGAGCAGGTGATGCAACACCCGTGGGTAGCCGACGCCTTTCCCCCGCACCTTCTTACTCTGCACTATGAAGCCATTCTTGACACCGTTCGCTTTGCCAAGGGAACGCTGTTGGAGGAGAGTACGTTTGACAACTCGGTGATTGCAGCGGTGGCGACTCGGTTTGGCATGTCGCAGCAGGAGGCCGCCTCGATCATTGCGGTGCATGAAAAGAGGAACTCGCCACTCTTCAATGGGGAGGTGTTTGAGGACGGAGGGGATACGAAGCGCTACCCCGCAGCGGATTTCTTTGAGAAATATAGTAACGCCGTAGACGCGAAGCTGTGGCCAACACCCCTCGTAATCCCACCCGCTGAACAGGCGCTTCGTGACGATGAGCACGATGTGTACGTGTCATATCTCATTCTTTTACACCGGAAGATGGGCCACATGCCTCTAGAACGGTTGGCTCAACTTGGGGCTCGGTCTGAGGCGGCTGGTTCCCTCATTCTGACGCAGTCAATGACCCAAGGCTATGGCTCCCTCAATGCAAACTCATTGCACCAGATACCTATGGGCATCGCCTCTTTGCCGCGGAGCTATCAGTCGTCACACCAGCAAGGTGCGCATGATTCTATTAGAGCGCATAAGGATGGGGGCATCACGTTTTGTGGCTCCCTCCCTGCACATGTGCAGTCGGAGCAGCAGGGCTCGGAGGTAGTAGACACGTATGTGGAGGGGTACAACAGGCTCGCGGAGACGTTTCTCCCGTTGTATCATCACTCCTCAAACCACACCTTACTCGGGAAGTTGCTTGGAGTAGTCGAGCGCCCCTTCGCAACAAGGCCGAAGTCGACCATGCCACAGCAAGTACAGACTGCGGCCCCTAGTGCCGGTGGTGGTGGTGGCGGTGGTCTTCTGCAGCCGCTCCTCAAGCCGATGACGGGCGAGACTGAGGCAAGCTCAACGACAAGTAGTGGGTCAAAACCGCTACTTCACCCTGCCTCCGCGACAAAGGCAAGGAAAAGCAAAGGGGAAGAGGACGACAAGCGGCGCATGAGTGCACGGGAACAGGGTGCACCTAGTGTGCCTGTCCAGCCGCTTGATGTGTATCGCTGCGATGTAGTTGCTCGATTTGGGAATGACTTTGTGCGTAACGGGGTCCTTTTTTCATCAAGCGAGCCACCAACGACGTTGCGCTACGTGTACAACGCCATGCGAGAAGAAGGCTTGTTGTGGAAACCGATCTATCCTTACTTCTTCGCAGCTGTGAAGCACCCGTCGGTGAAACTCCAGGTGAAGATGTACAAGGTAACAGCGGAGGAGCAGATCGTGGATGTAAAGGTGTCATGCCAGAGCGGTATGCAGGCATGCGACGTGGCATCCAAACTCTTGGAGCGGCTGCGCAAGAAGGCTATTGCTCACGACCGTAAGAGGCTCAAGCGGAACATCATGATGGGCGATCAGAGTTTGCCACAGGGCGGTGCGGATCCCGCTACCGCTGCTGCAGTTGCTGATGCTGAAAGTATTGACTCTGCGGGCATAGACCGACGGGCACAGCATGTCTTCCCCAGCGCGGCAAAATAGTCAACGTACTCTCACTCCATTTTGTTTTCCTTCCCTTCCCGTTCCCCCTACTCCTTCTATCTCTTTCTCTCTCCTCTTCCAGCGATGCTTCTGATTCAAACCCCGTGTGGTGGGACGGGTGACACGACGTGCTTGGGTTGGTGTATTAGTTCTCGTTTTTTTTTTTATACACCCTGCTGCTGTTTTCTTTTCATTCAGAGCCATCCTTGCACAAATATATTCAAGGTGAGGCACGTGAGCGGTGGGTTGGGGGCCAAACCACAAGAAGACAAAAGAAATTCCAACAGAGTCAACAAATCAAAACTGATATATATATATATATATATATATATATATA